CCCAGCTCAACATGCCTTTCAGCTCATCTCTGAGCATCCTCATCGCTGCAATACTGATGATATCCTCCATCAAACCGCCAAACGTGTCAGTGCGGCCCAAAGCGTTATGCTAATGCTGTTTGCGACAACTCGAAGAATCGGTCACTGTTTCAAACCATGCTTGTCTTTTTCCCGCCCAAATGAACCAAATCGATCGTAATGTGAGCCTCAGTTGCGAACCTACAAGTTTTCAAAAACTGAGCCGCCGCCGCGAGCTGATTCGAGTGATCCAAGGAGAATGACCTCCACGAGAAAGCGTGTTGGAAACGAAAAGGAAAACGCGTCGCAGGACATCGCCTGCAGAGGTTGCTGATCTGAAGTCCCGCATCTCTGACTCTGTTACATTCGCATACGTGGGGGTCAGATTGCCTAAACAGGATGTGAGAGGAAACTCACGCCTGCCCGGTTGGTCTTGAATCGGCCGATTGCGGGGGCTCGGCCAACTTACCCCAGATTTTCGGATGCCGCAGTTGATTGTTATTGGATAGAGGGAACTAAACCGGATCATTCTTGGCCAGTTGGTAGTTACCCCGCGTGTTCTTTTTCACTGTCTTAGAAGGATTCATGTAGGTCCGTGGTGAAATTTTGAAGCAGGTCCAACCCGTAAACCTTACCCAGACCGGAAGTATGAAGTTGTGTCTGACCCCAAACGATGATTAAACCTTTATCTATAGACTCCACACAGTTGGACCTTCGTATCAAACTTCCGGTCCCCACAACCTGGCTTGCTCCTTATCAACGTTCGCAAATCACCACCCTCGCCTCGGGCCGTGGCCCGGTCATAGGAGAAGCAGGTCAGAAAGACTCTATACCCGCCAGTCATAACCCCGCAAAGTTCGGACAGATCCAGATCGATATACCCTTATCTGACCCCTAAAGCTTGACAACCGTATCTCTTATCTTCCGCCCCCTCCCTCCTTTATCTAGACGGGTTCTCGGGTGATACGCAACAAAGTGCGAAGTTATCGCATACCGCTCATCATGCAGTAGAGCTGTTTCAAAACTCATCAATCCGAATGACAGATGTCCCGAGACCAGTCCTGGACAGACCAACTCCAGATTATCGACAAACTACAGCATACGTCATTTGGTCTTTCGTGATACTGTCCAAGACTGATACCTGTCGACAATGGATGTAAAGACTCAAGAGGGTGTTGAGGTCGGGAGGCGCGACAATGAGTCGACCCGGAAAACCAGCATGGTTGACATTGACCACGGCGCCGACTCACAACTACAAAGAAGACTTGGAAACCGGCATATCACAATGATCGGGATAGGCTCGTCGATCGGAATGGGCCTATGGCTCGGAAGTGGCAAAGGGCTAGTTGCGGGTGGTCCAGCTTCATTATTCATCGGATGTGAGTACTTCTGCAACGTCATGTCTGAATGCCCTCCCCAGTGAGCCCTTCTATGCTTGCAGCTTGGACGCTGACTAGGGCAACCAAAACTCCAGTCATCATAGCCAGCTCCATGGTTTGGGCAGTCTCGCAGTCCATCGGGGAAATGGCCGTGATGTACCCCCTCCCCTCCGCTTTTGTCCAATGGACGAACAAATTCGTTGACCCAGCCGCTGGATTCGCGTTGGGATGGTGCTACTGGTTCAACTACTGGATTGCCGTCGCCAACGAGCTACAGGGCATCGTTACCGTTTTGTCTTTCTGGAACACGTCAGTGCCCAAGGCCGTATGGATCTCAATTTTTTGGGTCGTCATCGCCCTGATCAACGTTGGTGCAGTTACAGTCTTCGCCGAGGTTGAGGTCGTCATGGCGGCCATCAAGTTCGGCTGGATCTTTGTCGTCATCATCGCCTCAATCGTCATTTCAGCAGGCGGGGCACCTAATCATGAGGCAATCGGTTTTAGATACTGGAACGAAGCCCCGTTCTTGAACGGCTTCAGGGGTTTCTTGACTGTCATGCCAGTGTGCATTTTCGCTCTGTCTGGGTCGGAAACGACAGGTCTTGTCGCAGCTGAGCTCAGCAACCCGAAGAAGGCGGTTCCAAAGGCAGTCAAGTCCATCGCACTCCGCCTTGCCATGTTTTATCTGATGGGCTCCTTGATGATCACCATCACCGTGTCCCCTTCCGACTCGAACCTCTTTGGTAGCGGAGCCCATGCCACAGACGCATCACCATTCGTGATCGCCTTCAGGAACGCCGGTCTGGAGCCGTTGGCCCATATGATGAACGCTGTCATATTCCTTTCGGTCCTCTCTTCCGGTAGTATCAACGCGTATGCGGGATCCCGCACACTCGTTGGGCTGTCTGAGATTGGCATGGCCCCATCTGTGAGTCCTGCTGTTTGTATGCTTCCGAAATTTTGACTAATCGCGTCTTGTTACAGTGGATGAAGAAGGCAGACCGGCGGGGAAGACCTTGGTATACCTTAACACCGACACTACTGATCGGCGGTGGACTCTCGTATCTCAACGCCAGTCACACGGGTGCGGAAGTCTTCAGCTGGTTGTCAAGTCTTGTCTCGCTTCTCACACTTTTCGGATGGTCGATGATCTGCCTTTCCCATATCCGCATGAGACATGCCTGGAAAGTTCAAGGACGAAGTGTCAAAGATCTGCCATGGAGAACGAAGACTTGGCCATGGGCAGCTTACTGGGGCTTGATATGGTGCATCATATTGACGATCGTCCAGTTCTATCTTGCCGTCTGGCCCTTCAACGGTGAAACGTCGGCGAAATCTTTCTTCTCGACCTACGTCTCAGTACCGGTGGGCATCATCATCTATATCGCTGCTAAGTTCTTTTATGGCGGTCGTCGTTGGCTTGATAGCCGATCGATTGACCTTGACTCTGACCGACGTTTTTACTCCGCCGAGCAAGAGGAAGAAGACAAGAAGGTTCCATTCGCCAAAGGGATATTGAAGAATTTACTTCGTTCGTAAGGCACAGAGAACATCACCACGTACGGCAGGACTGATGTCGCGGAGCTTTACACGACTAGACCGTGCTTATTGACAAGAGTAGAAGTCAATGGCTTCTTTGGAGGATGATCCCATTGCCTCATCTGTTCGCGTATCCCAATGTGACTTTGGTTGGAAGGCTCTGCTTGGAATTCTCCAATGTTGTTCATTCTCTGAGTTAAACTTCACCTTCTCACGGAGTAGTCCGGCTCATGAGGACATGCCGAGATATTTACACTCATATCATCTGCATCGCGGTCTGTGCCGTGTCTCGCAACTAAAGTTCCCGGGGTCCCTAGTGAGAGTTGTGTTAGTTAATATGTTAAGTTTGAGGCGAAGCATCCACTTTCTAACACTCGCGAAAAATAGGGCGCTTCTCACTTTCGCAACAGCTCCGTCCGCAGAAAACCACAGACCAGGCTGCAGTCATTCCGCCGCTGACTCGCCGCAAGGCGCTGAGTTGAATTGCTCTCCACATGTCATGTCAATCAACCCGGAACTGATATTACCTGGGACATCCTACGGCATCCGCGGAAGTTACCAACGGACAAACTAGGTTGGTGCTGAACTCTGTTCTCGATTGCAATAAGTAATCATCGGCATATTGTTCCGGGCTGGCATCTGCTCATCCCATCTTACCTTATTTAAACTTGGCAGTCTCGTCCGAACCACTCCTCAACCTCTTCTGGCAACAACTCAATTGACATCCAACACTGACCTGACCGCAACCAGTAAGCATTCATTCAGCCTCTTGCCTAGCGCAATCATGGCCAAACCTAATTTGACTCAGTGCAACTCATCAACCTCCTTGTCCTTCTTCCTGCGCTTGTCTCCGCAGCCCATGGCGACCCCCGCAGAATGAGCTACTCCGGAAGCTGCATCATCGCCAAGGACGGAACATGGTCACCAAAGTGCACGACGGCCTACGTCGAAGCGGCACTCGGATCCCAGTGCACGAACCTGGGCGGTACTTTGAGCAACATCAACTTCCAAACGACCATTACGCAGATCAACTACCGCTGCAACTGCGTGCACGGAAATACTAAGGACTTCACCTTCAATGACGGCGTCTTCGAGGCTAAGGCTGTGGTTGGAGACAAGTGCTGAAGGGGGGGGATCAAAAGAGAATCAATTCGCATATCATGGGTACCCAATCTCGCAGCTATCATGGCTAAATACAAGAATGCTTCCTTTTTTCGCCGTCGTTCATCAAGTACAATGTTCCGGTCACGCCTGGATAGAATTCCGTGACAATTCGTTGACAGTACATAATGTGAAGTTTGATGCAGCTCATGAAACGGTGTGGTCGATCTGGTTCCAACGTATGTACCACATGTTGAATAAAACCTGCAATCCGCATGGACGCCATCCAAACCAACTAAGCACCATCCTTCAATATCAACAGGATAGATCAGCTCATTGAGAGCACTAATATTTGAGGTAACGGAAGGCATGGTGCATGATTAAATGAGGAAAAAATTAGATCTCTATCCCTTTTTTTTCGTGCCTTTCGCAGTCCTTGCGATGTTGTGAGTGATAGGGACAGAAAAGGGGCGCTAAAAGATTGATATGTGACACAAAAAAGGATCACTGAACATGCTAGAGTTCCACACGAAGGTAATGTCGCGCTTTCACCAATTACGCTGCTCTCCCTACCTTACACGACAAAACACCCTTCTCCCAAAGTACTCGGTTTCCGACTCAAGATTACGTCTTACGCCCCTGTGATGACATCAACTCATGCTGTGTTACCTTGATTGGCGCTGTGATTGGCAGTCGAACAAGTGTCTCACATTAGCCGACATGGACACTCTGGCTTTTAGTCAGCTGCTAAGTTTATAGTTCTTCATCATCAACTCGCCATTACTTCCAGATCAATTTCAACCAAAGACTCCGGCGATGCTCGTGTGGTGAACGAACATATGGCGCATCAGACTGTATTTGCTTGCCAATGTCGAAGGTTCGCTCGGCTTGATTCTTCCGCAGCAACCTGCATCACTTGGCATACAACCAACAGCAATCCAATCGAACACATTGAGCGACACGATGTCGAGCACAACCTTTTGTCATGCGATCAATTGCACCGACTTGAAGGGGAACTTCCTCGAGCCTTATGCAGACATCTCGGGCACTGGTGTAAGCATACTAGCCATACCGTAATTTGAAGAAAGATTGATCAAATTTATGCTGATACATGTGCTGTTAAGGTGCTCATAGGGTTTATTGGAACTGCTTATCTCGTCTTATTACTGGTCACTGTCAGCTACTTTCTGGCATTTGACCCAAGCGAAAATCCGTTCAAGGGCCGCGTGACTGCCTATGAGGATGCTGAAGACCCCCACTGGAAACCAAATCCAATCGACCAAAGATTCATCGCCTGTTTACGAAAGCCCTCGGTGCTGATGTCCAGCACACGTGAGCGACTTCAATCTGCGTTCGACGAGGTAAGGTATTCGTAGCACCCACGTTGGAACAGCGATTTGATATTAACACTACCTAACGAGGCATAGTCTATAATTCTCCTGTGCGATATACAAATTGTAACCGGAATCGGAATTCTACTCAGCGGTTATATGCTGTTAAAGTGCGGTCTCGATGCTTGTCACTGGCAGATCGTTGTTTACCTCGCGTGGGTTTTCTACTGTTACGCACTTATCAGGTCTGAATATCTTAAGAAAGCTTCTTAACACTACCCTATGGGCAAAATATGTCCGCGTTTTTCTGATGTTGGTTCTTTTAGTGTTGGTTATTGTGGGACTGCTACCGACCGGGTTTTTCAACAGTGACAACTTCTCGTCACAGGCCATATGCTACTTCAATCAAAGTTACGGCTACTGGCGACATGACGCGACGAGTGGTGATCCCGTCAGAGAGACTGCAGAATGGCAAACCATGGCCATGTCCGTCATACTTCTCATTTTTGGATTTGTTTCCCGATCTTTCAAACTATTTCAGCCTCTGTCTACAGCATTCAGGGTACAGATAAGAAGTCCAATAAGCCGGCTAGCACAGAGGACTTTACAACGACTTGGAGAACCAAGCTCCGGCGTATCTCTCGGCTGGAAAGACAGATTGAAGCTGAGCATTGTCACAAGACCCGCTTTGGCCACTTTTCTGATGGTGCGATTGAGTTGCGATTTATTTAGTTCAACCATCTTTGAGGTATGATTTCGTTCGAGATCTTTCCAAATAATGTCATAAACCCCGCAACTGACACGAACAATTCGCAAGGTTTACTGGTTATTTGTCATTTTGCTTTGGGGGACCTTGAAATTCTTAGCCGCTCGAAATTCGATAAGCTCAAAGAGCCCGCAAGCTACCTTAGAAGAGGAGCAGTGGACATTCGGCCAGATTCTGCCTATATTTCTCTTGCTTGGTCCGCTCTTCACCGTGGCCGGTATTTTCGCTGCTAATGTGGCCAAAACGACATCAAATCCTGCTAGACTCAGCGGCAGAGAGGCATACATCATCGGGACGAATGTAGCTGGACGCCAGACTCAATCCTACAGCGGACCGGCTGAGAGGGTGTCATTTGACTCACTTGAAGTTAACACACCACAAGGCTTAGACCTGCTCGAGCTACCTCCTACTCCTACAACGGCGATTCCCATTTCAAATTCCAACGAAGCGGATCTCATACATCTGAAAGACTACAGCAACGCTCAATGGCTCCCAATTTGTGTGGCAGTCCCGTTTTTGAGCATTTTTGTGGCCACCCGGTGGATGGCGAAAATTTGGTTTCTTTTGGCTCTGTGGAATGATGTACACTGTTTATTTCCTGTTGGCGTTTCCATGGCTCATTGGGAACCTTGAGTGGATCAAAATTGCGCCGTATTCGGGTTTCATTGTTGCCTCGTCGCTTTACTTTGGACATGTCCTCGTTTCATTTGCCATGATTTTGGCAGGCTGGAATCTGCGCTTTACGTCGTTGATTCCTCAAAACCTGCTGTTATGTAGATAGATAATCTTCACTCTTAGGGCATGCATTGCATCGCTTCTGATGTTTCAAGCCTCGCTCCACTGTCTCTGTTGTCGGGGTTATATACATACCCGTCGTCAGCTCAGACGCTATTGCTTGCGTACCGTGTATGCCAATGTCGGTACTCGTTGTCATCCCACTTCGATAACCATGGCAAGGATGATGAAAACCAAGCAAATCGCTGTTGTGAAACTTTTGAGCTGCATATTATGCATAGTCACTAACAGAAATGCTGCCATATGTGCCCATTCCGAGAGGGAACATTTCAATGGTTCTATAGCACAGGGAGGGTCTCATTCATTGTCACCTGGACTGGCCGATCTCAGTTGATCACTCTGAATGGGCATTCTCAAACCCACTAGCTTGTCATGAGAGACGCCGTCCTGTATTGACTACTGTGAGAATACAGTCTTCGAGGAAAAAGAGTCCGAATCTCGAATTGTGAATCATGGGTAGTTCAATTGTTGGTCGTGAGTTTGATTCTGATCGACAAAACACGCAAATGACAATAAGGTCTCCCTACAAAGTCATGTTGGGTTAAAGGATGCTCTGAATTAGCCCTTTGTTTCAAAGACATTATTTTGTGCGCACACCTACAGCGTAACGGATCGGGACATTTTCAAGGATCTGGGGAAGGTTCTGCTTACCCAAAATACTCCTTGTCGACGTCAGGTGGTGGATGGCCGAAATTTCACAGATGGCGCTATGTTAGTTGTGGCAGCACCGCATTCCAACTGTCACCTATCACATTTGCTGCCTTTGTAAAGGTTTGAAACTATGCTTCAAAGCATTGCCGGCTCCTAGTGTTAAGGACGTTGAAGAGAAATGGCTCAATCTGAATGCAACACTGTAATTTGGCCAGTCTCTGTCGGATGCTTTCCTCAATCTTGCCTTCACATAAGCGTCATGTACGTCACACCCATCACGCGGCAGCATCATGCCTCATGAACAGATAACCAAAGCCTTGATGTAATCTCCAGTTTCTCAGATCCAAATGAGACTATTAACAAAGATAGCCACGTCGAACGTTTTCTTGCGGTGACAACACCACAGCAATGTTCATCTAAATAGGGTCGTTGCCATTGAACGAACATAGGAACTCTCCCTTCAATGTTGCAGCTTGATAGCTAGCCAATTCGCCAGAAAATTGACAGCGATCATAGTGGTTGCTAGAATGACGAGTGCTTAAATTCTGGTGGCTCAGATGGCCGCATTCACCCTGGTCTATTCCATGTGGACGAGCTAATTCTCCTTTTAGTCCGCCAGTGTTCGTGTTGCTTCAAGCTCGGCGGGGATCGAGCTTAGGGTTCTGGCATGTGTCGCCAATTACTGAACTTTGCCAGTACATCGATAGATAATCATTTTAATGACTACTTTCTCTGAATGAATTGTAATCTTGCCAAAAGTGGTAGAGGATTTCGATCTCTCGGGACAACGACTGTTGAGTCATGCGACGTACGGGGATGTACCAACTTGGCTGGGCAGTTGACAGGATGCAACTCTTGTTGACTATTCCTTGTCTTGCAGAAGTCCCAATCGGCGTTTCGCAGGCGCCTTACCATAGGTTCGTTGCAACCTTGCAACTTCATACTTTTCAGCTCGCCGTTTCATTAATAATGAATTGAATAGACTATCGAACTAGTGTATGAAATATGTGATTCGCATGGTCTTTACGTAAGCTGGCTGTCAACACATCTCCGCGGAAGCTGAACAATGTCGAAGCATTGATAATTTTAAGAACTGTTGAAATTTATCAGTTGTTCCAGTACTCTGTACCCTTGACCATGTCACTATGTGGTCCTCCGTTATCTTTACGTACAAAATCTCGTCATGTTCTTTTCAATACCCGTTTCTCTCACTGTTGCAACGCTCTGAAATGCTGCCCAGGCAGCATAAGCATAACCCGCGGGAATAGGATCCCACAGTCGATGTTGCCGCCAGCTGGAGAGCTGCAAAATGTCCACAGCCAAGAACCGTGGACGTGCCGATACAACCTTATCATGGCCCCGGCTCCCTGCTTCTCTCGCCCGGGTAGGGTCTGAGACACTGTGGACGCCCCGCTTCAACGCCTCCAGCCCAGCCAGGGTCGGCAACCGGACCATCTTCCCGCATCCCCCCACTGTGGTACGTCGGCGAGACGGCGAACCACCGAGCCGCGCCAAACATAAACATTCGCCCGTCCGCCTGCAGGGTTTCATACAGCGGACACCTTCCGTAGGAGGACCGGATATCTTCCCGACTCTGCATGCACAATACATTACGGTGTGTGAGTATTCGTACTCTGGCATAAGAACACAACTCAAGCCAGTCATGAGCAAGTCATGTACTCAGCAGTGATGCATGGCGTGCTGTCAAATGCCATTCCGAACTTTGTACGATGTCCCGTCTCCAGGCCACAGGTCCGTCTGCTGCAGGACGGATCGCGTTGAGCTCGCATCGCGCCTCCGCAAAGACGTTGTCAAACCTCGCGTTCGCGTCTGTCGCTTGGCTGCAGATCTCGCTATTCGGATTACCCATTTTGGCCTTGTGCACCTTGGCGGCTTTTGCTATTAACTCAATGTGAGTAATCAGGTCTGACATTCAAAACGCGACGGTGTTTGCTTGCATAAGAATGTACGGCTCGGGATATGTAGCTGCGCCTTACGTTGGACATATCAGAAATACATAGGGCGCTGTAATAATACGGTCAGCACTTGCGCTCGCCTAAGTAATCAGCATATGTACTCTTCTGGGAACCATTCCAGAAGCAGTGTAGCGAGAAGAAGAGGAATGTCAACCCGAGCGCGCGCGCGCGTGGCGTCATCGGCATTTTCTGCAATTGAATTCGCCCGATGACCAAACAGAACGCCGACATTTCAAAGATGTCGGCGTTAGATGCGATTATTCAGCTCCGTGCGGCTCAACTCGAAGCCGCGTGCGTGGTGTCTCTCTCTGTCGTGATGGTAACACAAGCGCAGATAGACAGTACATATAAGGTCTCGCCGTTTTCGCTGAATACCTCTTGCTGCATGTCTCCCAGAAATACGAGCAGCTCGCATCCTCTCGGGAATTATCACGACCAACAGCACAATTCAAGCTTAAACCATCCAATCCAAGTCTCCTTCTGAAATAGTAGCACCTGCACCCCCACGCAATGACGAAGATCGAAGCTCCCCAGGCCGCGGACCAAGCTCCGGTTGCTGGCGCCCTGCAAATCTCCAAGCCCGATCTCATCAATGAGGGGGCCGCGAATGTATGTAATGCTGCTGCTGCTGCTGCTGCACAATTGCTTTTGCCAAACGGTCGTTTTGCTCCACTAGCCTCGTTTACCGCTAACACCCCCCGGACCAAAGGTTCCGTACTTCACCCCGATCCAGCACCCGGCCGCCGGCACCGCCAGGGATCCCCAGCTCGCAGGCACGCTCTTCTCCCCGCTGACGCTGCGCGGGCTCACCCTCCACAACCGCATCTTCGTCTCGCCCATGTGCCAGTACTCCGCGGACGATGGGCACATGACACCGTGGCACAAGACGCACCTGGGCGGCTATGCGG